AATTGCTCTGTTCCTGGGTTCTCAGTTTCATACCTGTAAGTGATTGATTATTCCTGTGTGAACAGCACATTTACTCTAGCTCCATGGATGGCTTTGAGATCTAATCAAAATTGCTTTATGCCTGATGTCTTTCAGATGAATGTTATAATCAGGTTATTACATCCATTTAAAAAGTTTTGCTGTGGTTATATGAAATTGCTTTGAATTTATAAATTAATTTGGTAGAACTGATATATTTATTATGTTGGGTCTTATAAATGGCATGCCTCTATTTTTGTGTTTCTTTTATACACCCTAGCATAGATTTATCATTTTATCCATATAGGCCTTACATTTGTCTTGTTAATCTTATTTCTAGATAATACTTCTTGCAGCTATTGTGGATGCAAGTCTACTTCCTCATATGTTTTCTAATTGGCTATGCTGGTGTACACAAACACTTTTCATCCCAGTGTGTTGGTGCTGTGCACAGCCTCCTTACTAGGCTTTATTAGCTGTAAGAGCATCTCAGTAGATCATCATGGGGAATTTTCTGTCCAAAAAAACCCCCATATTTACAAACAGTGACAGCCTTGTCCCATTTCCCAAAATGCATACCTTTTAGTACTGTTTTTGTCTTAGCAAAAACTTTTCACCAAGTTTGTTTCCTGTAGATGTCTGTGAGGTATATTTAATCAAGCCAAGAAGCTAAGCTAAGGAAGTTTCTTTCTATTTCGAGACTGTTGAGTACCAGAGGATGTGGAATTTATCACATGCTCTTTCAGCTTGTGAAGATGACTGTATAATTCTTTAATCTGTTAATTTAGTGAGCTACAGTGAGTTACTCTCGACTCAATCTTGCATGTTTTCATATAAATCTTACTTGAAAATGATGTATCTTTTACTACACTGCTGAATGCAAAGTGCTAGTTTTATTTTGGATTTTTGCACCTACATTAATTGAATTTGGTTCAGTTTTCCCTGTGCTTTATTTGTGCAGTTTGCTATAAGGATTATGCTAACCATATGGAATGAATTAGAGAACTTTACATCTCTTTTCTAACCTCTGGAATGGTTTACAAATAAATATGACCCTGGAAGTTTTTTCTTTTTCTTTTTCTTGAGTCAGGGTCTCACTCTGTTGCCCAGTCGAGAGAGCAGTGGTGGCATGATCACAGCTCACTGCAGCCTTGAACTCCCAGGCTCAAGCGATCCTCCCATCTCAGTCTCCTGAGTGGCTGGGACTACATGCACAAACCACTAGGCCTGGCTAAGTTTTTGTTGTTGTTGTTGTTATGTTTTAAATTTTTGTAGAGACAAGAGCTTGCCTAGCCTGATGTCAAACTGCTGGTCTCAGTGATCATCCCACTTTGATCTCCCAAAGTGCTGGGATTACAGGTGTGAGCCACCACACCTGGCCCCTTGAAAGTTTTTCTAATTGTCTTTGTCTTTTGTTTTGTTTTGTTTTTGAGACAGAGTTTCACTTGTCTTCCAGGCTGGAGTGCAGTGGTGCAATCTTGGCTCACTCCAACCTCTGCCTCCTGGGTTCAAGCAATTCTCATGTTTCAGCCTCCTGAGTAGTTGGGATTATAGGTGCCCACCACCACACCTGGCTTTTTGTATTTTTAGTAGAGATGGGGTTTCACCATGTTGGCCATGCTGGTCTTGAGCTCCTGACCTCGGGTGATCTGCATGCCTCGGCATCCCAAAGTGCTGGGATTACAGGCGTGAACCACCATGCCCGGCCTCTTTTTAAAAATAAGTTCTTGTCCTATTTTTTCAATTTCTCCTAAGATGTTTCATTTATTTACTTTTTCTACTTTTTATCAATTTTTACAATCCATATTTTTTAAAAGTCACATTTCAGCTAGTCTTTCAAATTTATTGGTTTGATGCTATACAGTTATTTGTAATAAATTATAAATAGTACTCTTGTAATTAAAAATATCTGTTATATTTGTAGGTATCCTTCTAAAATTATTCCTAATTCTGGCAATTTTTGTTAGTTACTTCTTGCTTTTTATTCTTTATCATAGTTTACGACGGTTGTCTTTTATTTTAAAAATCCTGTTTCACTGATCAAAATTTGCTTTGTATTTTACTCGTTTCTGCTTTTTACCAATTCCTCATCTTTCTTTCCTTCCTTCCTTCCCTTTCTTTCCTTCCTTCCTTTCTTTCTTTCTTTTTCTTTCTTTCCTTTCTTTCTTTCTTCTTTTCTTTTCTTTTTTTTTTTTTGTTTTTTGTTTTTGAGATGAAGTTTCACTCTTATTGCCCAGGCTGGAGTGCAATGGTGTGATCTTGGCTCAATGCAACCTCCACCTCCCAGGTTGAAGCGATTCTCCTGCCTCAGCCTCCTGAGTACCTGGGATTACAGGCATGCGCCACCATGACCAGCTAATTTTTGTAGTTTTAGTAGAGTTAGGGTTTCTCCATGTTGGTCAAGCTGGTCTCAAACTCCCAACCTCAGGTGATCTGCCTGCCTCGGCCTCCCAAAGAGATGGGATTACAGGTGTGAGTCACCGTGCCCGGCCTGGTTTATCTTTTCCTTAGTTTTAAATTTTTAATTCATCTCTTTTATCTTCCTTCTGAAAAGTAAATAAAATTCTATAAAATTTCCTCTAACATCCATTAGGGTAGAATTCCTCAGCTTTAGAGAAGTATTTTATATTAATTCTAAACAGTTTGCAATTTGTTTGGATTTCTCCTTTAAATGAGTTTAGAAGATCACTTGAAAATTTCCAAGTGGACAGCCTCTTTGCTATTGTTATAACATTATACAAAGAACACATGATCTGTATGATCTTTGAATTTTGCAAGGTTTTTTTGCTTCATATGAATCATTTATATGAATGTTCCACTGGTTTTCCAAGAGAATACACTTTGTATTCATGATGGATACGAAATATTTATGTTCAACAGTATCTTTCATATCTTGATCTACTAATGGGCAAGAGGTATCTGAGTTTTTTTCAGCTCTAATATTATACAGTAAAACTGATTTTTTTGAAAGTGTGCAGTTCTATAAATTTGAACATATGTATAGACTCATGTTACCACCACCATATTCAGGATACAGAAATGTTTATCACCAAATAACCAAAAAAACAAAAAAAACCTCCTTCTCACAGCCTGTTTATAATCAACTCCCCCCAACACCAACACCTGGCAACCACCAATCTGTTCTGTCACTATAGTTTTGTCTTTTCAAGAATGTCACATAAACGGAATCATACAGAATGTAGCCTTCTGAGACTGGCTTTTTCACTCAGCCTATGATGTTGAGATTCATCCAAATTGTGACATGTATGCCATCATATAGATGCATCTCTATCCAGTCACCTGTTGGAAGACACCTTGGTGACTATGGAGCTGCTATAAAGATCCATGCACAGGTTTTGTGTGAACATAAGTTTTCATCTCTAAATACCCAGGGTCATATTGTATGTGTATGTTAGCATTTAAAGAAACTGCCTGTTTCGCGTGACTGAGTCATTTTGCATTCCTACTAGTTGTGAGGAACTCCAGTTGCTCTGCATATTTATCAGCATATCAAATTGCAGATATATTTTAAAAATCTTCCACAACACTGTACGTATCAGCCAAAAGAATCTTTGTCCCGTTTACTGATTTTCACCTTGGGTTCTATTTAGTCTGAAGTTAACACAGCCACATTTACTCTTTAGCATTTGCGTGGTATATTTTTCTTCATCTCTTCATAATCTATGACAGTGTTTTAGATTTTGCAAATAGCAAAATGGGATTTCGTGTTTTTACTCAAGCCTAAGGATTCCAGAATTTAACCTGTTCATGCTTATTATGAGGAAGTAACTTGATCTTGCTATAGTGTGGATTTTAAAAATTTCTATGTAGCTTGTTTCTTTTTTCTTTCCTGTCGTTGGATCTAAAAATTCCATTCCCTCTTTCCGGGTAGTTTTGTAGCTATTAAAGTCATTGATATATATTTGCTTCCCTCTCATCTCATGGCAAATGGCAATTATGCACTTCTCTGGTCTGTTGAATTCAGGCATAGCCATGTGACTTTCTTTGGTCAAATAAATGTGAAGCGACATATGTCACCTCTAGACAAAAGCTTTAAGTCACAATATATGCTGCATCGCACTTTCTTTCCTTGGACACTATAACAATGTTCCAAATAGTGACGTTCCACCAGCCTCACTCCTAGATTGAGAGTGGTATTCAATAGAGGCCTCTAGCCAATCTGCCAAAGGCAAATTGTATGGGCACAAGTAAACCTATGTTGTTGAAAGTAATTAAAATTTGGGAACTGTTAATGCATCATCACCTAACCTATCCTTACTAACATACCCTTAACTTTATATATATTTTAATATATTTTTTCAATCAACACCTAGAATCAAACACTACCTATATCCTTCCCTTGAATAAGACAAGATCTGGGACAAGCTTTCACTTTCTATGTGCTGCCCTGCCTCCATTCATGTTAAAACCTAGAATTTTAGTTGGACGTTGTTTTCACGTTCATTAGTATTTATTTAGACGTTTTCTGATTGCAGGCAACTGTAGTGATTATAAAGGGGATTTGCAGGTCACAAAGCCAAACTAGTGTGTCTCATATCTTTATCAGTTTATTTGATTTAAACATCTTTCATTGGGCCGGGCACAGTGGCTCAGGTCTGTAGTCCCAGCACTTTGGGAAGCCAAGGTGGGAGGATCACTTGAGGCCAGTTCAAATCTAGCCTAACAAAGAGCCCATCTCTACAATAATTTTTAAAACCTAGCCAGGCCTGGTGGTGCATTTCAGCTACTTGGGAGGCTGAGCTGGGAGGATCATTTAAGCCCAATGATTGTGGTTACAATGAGCTGTGATCCCATTGCCACACCCCAACCTGGGCGACTTGAGACCTTGACTCAAGAAAAACCCCAAAAAACAAAAAACGACTAATGGATTCATTCTTCATTTTGTTTAGTTACTCTGAGAAAGATTTCTTCTAAGTAATTTAGTTGCTGATGAAACATCTAATACCAATTAATATCTTCCATTTCATGAATTTAAGCTTTGACTGAATCCATTCTGCTATACAGTCCACCTTCTGAGTGTTTCAGTTTTATAATCATATTTTTAATTTCCAGAAACTATAAATATTTATTTATCATAGCATTCTAGTCTTTAAGGACACAGTATCTTTATGAATTGCTAAAGATCTTGATTCATTAATTTAAAATTTTCATGTTTCTTCTAGTAACTATCTTCTTGAACAGGTTAATTTGTTTTAATTTCATGCCTCCTTTTATGTTACTGGTTTTCTTCAAATTTGATGATTCTTAGCTGCCCATATTTAAAAATGAGGGCCTAAGATTAAAATTTGAAGTGTTGTTTCTTCATCCAAATGGGAATTCTGGTTCACTTTCAATGAACACAAATGATTACAGGCACTTATACGGTGATTGGCAGGTCACCGTAGTCAGAGAGAGATCATGTGGGCAGCTTAACTTCAGTTCCTCCTTGTAGCTATTTTGGATGATTCTCTTATTCTCCGATCCCAGCTTTCCTGGGTCAGAGTTCCCACTTCAACAGCTGCTTTCTTAGCCTGGTGGTAAACTCCAGAATCAGATGCTCCAAAGATGAGTGCAATGGCTTAGCTGTTCCACCCTTTAATTAACTGGTACATCAAACATCTGCTTTTTGTCTTCCAGAAATTCCACATTGTTCAATTTCTGGTTTTCCAACTCTGCTATCATTTTTAATATTTCTCCAGTCATTTCAAAGGGATTCTAGAAGAGTAAAAGAATGTGTTCAGTCATCCATGTTAACGTTCTAGCATGTAGCTTTTAATCAGAATTTTCCAAAAAAACCCAATCATCTCCTATCTTGCTGATCCTCTGAAAATCAAGTGTTACTGTCTTGAGATTAGAGATTCTATAAAAACCCATTTGAAATTAGACTAACTCATTATTGGACATAGAACTGGATGGGTAAGCAAGAGTAATTTTTGACCACTAGTAATTATGTATGGATTTAAGGCAGGATGACAAGCTCTTTGCTATTATCACATCTGGCAATTTTCTTAAAAAAGTTCTGTTTGCATAGACGGTATATGTTCTGCTAAGTACTCAGTAAAGGTGCATAATACATGCTTGTACCTTTCTCTAAATCAAATGAAAATACTGTATTTCAAAATTAAATGACATTATTTCAGGTATATTGAAAGTTTAACAATCACATACAGG